CAGGGTGGGATGTGTTTCTCTTTTTTATTTTTTATTTACGAAGCTGTTAATAGATTATCTTTGAGTTTAACACTCCTGAAATGTCACACTTGTGATAGATCTGATAGATCTCATTAGTAAATTGATAAATCATCATTAGTTCCAGCTTTAGTAAACAGTTAATTTAAAATTAAGAGGCATTTGAGAACTGCGCTGACGCAAAGTACTGGAGTTAAAGCACTGAGCCTCTTTGCACCTCAGAAAGTGAGGGATGGTGAGCTAAACGTCGGAAAAGGTTAAACCAAGCGTACACACAAAGCGGCCCCTCCACTTAATTGCAGCAGCAGCAGAGGAGACAGGGAGCATGTTGGGAATGAGCTTAATTAATGTAGCAGTAAAAAGTGGCCCTCCCTCTCCATGTCCATTCTGCTGTTCAGTATTAGTTCCACTCCAGCGCTCCTAAAGCCACGAACAAATAGTGACTCTAATGATGGACATAGTGCCTCCCCCACCCTCCATCCTCCTCCCCTCAACCCCTCGGCTGGTCTCGGGTCACTGCCCCTCCTCTGCTGCTCCCCAGGGAGGGCGGAGCAGGGGGGTCAACCAGTTAGACAAGCATGTTCACCCCATCAGTTCAGACAGAGCACAAGACAAGCTTGCATACTGACTTCATTAGCACTGACAAGTTTAGGGGGGATGCGGTTCAGATGGGAGGACTTACAGAAGAGGGACACCGCACCGGGAAAAGGAGGGAGTCAGCACTTTAAATTAGAACTACTTCCATGCAAGACATACCTCCATATATTACTCCATATGTTTCATAGTCTAATTAAAAATGTTTGTTTAATTACATTTTTCGTTTTATTTTCATTTTTGTACGCTTCATTAGGATTGTTTTGTAAAAGTTTAATTTAAAACATTTTTGTACAGGTTATTTATCTATATATCTATCCATCTATCCATCCATCCATCCATCCATCCATCATCATCCATCCATCCATCCATCCATCCATCCATCCATCCATCCATCCTATCTATCTATCTATCTATCTATCTATCTATCTATCTATCTATCTATCTATCTATCTATCTATCTATCTATCTATCTATCTATCTATCTATCTATCTATCTATCTATCTATCCATCAATCTTGCAGCTACACAAATGCAGTGACGCAACTCCATTGATGACACCAAGCCAAAGTCCTAACCTTACAGGCAGCCATGTTTGTTTTAGAGCATCTTCCTGTCTGGATGTACCAGAGGTCAATAAAGAAAATGCATATAATGACTAATGTTACTCATCAGATGAGTCTTAAAAGTCTACACTTAAAAAAACAAGTTGGCTGGCATGCATAACATGCAAACACACTGGGTTACTTTTCTCTTTTTTGATCATAAACCTCAGTAGCAGGTAGTCATTGAGTAATGAGTTTAGATAAATCCACCATTTTCAAGAGTTTTCCCAACATTGCACTTCAATATCCTCAAGTAGAACATGAGAGAATAGACACTGGTAACATAACGTTTAAAGTGAGAATTTAAAAGTAAGCTGCGAAATAAGCAGGTGAAATAATATCAAGTCCATATGTTTCTTTGAAAAAAAGTAGTAGAAAAATAATATTTTAATGAGGTTTGTCTCACAAGAAACCTTTAATATGGTAAAAACCAGAAAACTACTCCAGACTATTTCATCAAATTATGATTTAAATACCTCACAAAATCTTTCAACAAACTTGTATTAAACTAAATAATGAAAATATTCAGTACTGCTATAAAGTGTTTTCTGCATAATCAAGGCTTCCTACAACTGGAGCTGTTGGAAGTTGATGGGCGCCTGACAAATGTGTATTATCTCATTACTCGTATTGTCTTAAACTAATGCTGAACTTTCCTCAGAAATGTGACAGAAGAGGTAATAAAAGATCAACAGGAGGCTCATGAAGGCAGCAGCTCTACAAAAAACACAACGCGGTGATCCCAGCAGGTGAAGCAGTCACACGTCTCACTGTGTAAATTAGAATATTGTGAAGCTACAAAATGAATAGATGCTCTTGAGAGAACTTGGAGGCTCGTATCTTGTTCAAAATCTAAACAAAACAAAAGGAATATCACATGAAATTAAGGTGTGAAAAGGTGCCATGAATGTTTTATTCCATCCAGCCACTGACATAAAGGATATAAATATTGTATGCAAAGAGAAAAATCCCCTGTTTGAAGTCTTGAGAGCAAAGACAGTGGGAGAGGGAGGGAGGGGAAGCAGGTAATTACTAGTGGAGCTGCTCTTTGACGGATTATTATACTAAAGCAGGAGGAGGATCAACCAAACACAGCTAACCTCTGTAACAGTGCTGGTCTCCACCTATCAGTGACAGGAACATTACAACCTGAGGAGCCACTTCCACTTGACAAACCTACCACAGGCAGCGCTGATAAAAAAAAAAAGCTTTTAGTTACAATCCAGTTTACTTACTGTGGGAAACTTGAAATTAAACTTGCATGTTTTTTTGATGAGGAGCTGAACTCAGCTCTTTTTTTCCTCAACAGGGAGGTTATCTCAGAGTCCTGCTGTTCCTGGCACATTCAGGAGGATTCCCGTTTGTCTTTGAACTTCCAATGCTTTGTTTGAAAATCAGTGAGAAAGCATTCTGTAAAAAGATATGGCCTGAAACAAATGACTATGACCATATTTAGTCATCAAATATCACTTATTGTTTTTTTTGTTTTTTTTAATCTTAGTCTACACAATGACAGTTACTCATGGCTTTTGCTCTTCATCAGGTGACTACAAAACCGTGGTCTTCCCTACTTTTTGTCCATTTTTGCCATAATTAGAAGAGAGACAGGAAATGATGGGAGGAGAGAGTGGGGGACAAAATGCGGCAAAGGGCAAAGGTCGGATTTGAACCCATGACAGCTGGGATGAGGAATAAATCCGTACATGGGATGCACAACATAACCATTAGGCTCTCCAGCACCCCAGGGCGACTGTGGCTCAGTGGTAGAGTGGTCAGGTTGAGAGACGACCCACATGGATCTGCTGCCACATGTCGATGTGTCTTTTGGTAAGACACTTAACCCCAAGTAACTTCCGCTGCTACATCAATGGTGTACAGCTGTGTATGAACGGATGGCACTTTCCATAGCATGGCAGCCTCTGTCATCCGTGTGTGAATGTGGTGTGAATATGTAGGTGTGGCCTGTGGTGTAAAAAACACTTTGAGTAGTCTGATGACTAGAAAAGTGCTATACAAGTAAAAGCTAATTTACCATTAAACCCATGTGACACAAACCTTTATCAGTTAGGAGGCTGAAGTAAAAATGAAAAATAAATGACTCACAAAGGAAGGACATATTCTATATTCTATTCTAAATGTTTCTATAGTTAAGATAATATCACCTAAAATATAATAAAATGCTAGTTCTATTTGTTAACAGTAATATAGGAGACATCTAACAGACGAAACCAGCACAAAAATGTGATCTTACCTTTCTAAATCTAACTTTTATGACAAACCCGTTCTGCCATTGTAAAAAAAAAAAAAAGGTTTCTTTAAGTCCTTAAAGAAACCAGCGACCAGTGTGTCCGCTGAGCTGTTGTTTCTGACATGTGATTGTAATGTGTATCTGACATGTGTAAACATGTGTGTCTGTATGCTGCTATGACTGGGCTTGTTGCCTTTAGTGTGACTCGGCTGTAGAACTGAATTTCCCTTCTGGGATTAATAAAGTCTGCTCTTTATATTGAACTCATCACTAATCCTACCAATCTCCTTCTGAGTACCATAATGTGATAAATAATTAAGTTTTTAATAAATAAGGAGACAATCCCTTCCTCTCCAAGTGGACAGAAACTTGACTGAGTTTCAGTCCAGTAAACAAAAGCCACCACTGGGTAAAGAAATGTCAGGTGTGAAATAATAAAATCAAAAGTTTCTCTTTCATGCGGTCCTGAGGTGTTTGGAGCAGAGCTGCCTTTCTCTCTCCTCGCCCCGGGGCAGGCTATCATCTCCAGTGACACCACAAGGAGGGCAGACCCCACCCCACCTCTGCCAGGCCGGGGGATGTGAGAGGATGAGAGGCAGGGGCGGTTTTGAATAGAGGAGTCTCTTCTCCCCCGCCCGGTCTCCCAGGTCCAGATCCCCTCTTTGATTACCGGCCGGCGACCTCCATGTCTCCAGAACAAGAGGCTGCGACGGAGAACATGCCGCCGAGCCTGTATCCCCTCCCATCAGCCCTTGTTCCCTCCAAATAGGAAAAAAGGGTTAATTGTATTTAACAATATGCTCTCTAACCCCCCCCCATCTCCACCACCCTCCCCTCCTTGATTAGAATTAGAATCACATCTGGCGCCATGTTCTGTCCCTCATTACTGCTGAATCTCATTACAAGCAGCTCCCGTGGGAGGGAGCGCGCCGGGTTTTTAAGCACACTTTTCACTTTCTTTCTGCCTCTTCCTCATCTCATCTGCCTCGCCGCTCCTTCTCTTCTGCGTTTACATTAGCGGAAGTCCTCATCTGAGAGAATGACTGAGCACCAGCCCCCTCCTCCTCCTCCTCCCAGAGCTTGGAAATTGTTTTACAGTGCCAATTAAAGTAGGTATGTCGAGTTTTTTCCAGAGAATGTATTATTCAGAGTGTATTATTTGTTGCGCTCAAAAAAGGAAGAAAAGAAAAAGCTTCACTAAAATAGGACTAGCAGAGTAAGTTCCACTTACTTGCAATAAAAACTACACCAAAGGTTTCGGAAATAAAGTCAACATAAGGAAAATGAGGGAGCTTATTTATGGTGCCCTAAAGTCCTCCTGAATAATAGAAACCTCCACATTTGAAACTTTGTTTCTGTGCACCCTTATGCAAACACTGTGCCTGACTGGGAATTAATTTTAGACGCGAGAAAATAAAGAAATCTGTAAAGTTTGAGTCCAAAATGTTTTACCTCACTAAAATATGAATTCAAAAACTGCCACATGGAGAAGCAGCCTCTGTGCACAAACCTGTGAGGAAATGAGAGTCACACCGTATAATCAAAGCCTTTTTATTTGCACTGAAAAGATACCAAAATAAAGAAATCAAACCATGACATTAAAAAACTGCTGCAGTGATTTCTGACATAATTGGACCCTGTGTCAGAGACGGATACTCTGGTGGTCGCAGGGACGCCCTGAGGTTCCTTCGGTTCCTTCGGTTCGGTCTCGTCTAGATCATCGGCGAGTCGCAGAGATTACAGGGCGCCTGAAGGATCTTCTTGATCCACTCTGGATCTGTGGGGAGAGAAAACAAGTCGTGTTTGTACTGAAGACCCTTTAAGACTGATCTTACACGTTGGTCTTATATTTGAGAACAAGCCAAAGTCACATCCTCATTAAAGTTAAAACAGTAGTTTTACAAGTTCAGACCTTGAAGCCATTTCCACTTTCAACACTTTAAACACAGCACACTAGAATTAATGAAATATTGACACAGCACACATGGAAGGCTGCAGCACTAATGTGGCACACATACACACAGAGATTAAAAACATCTTTTTAAAATCAACTAAATAAATTCCTCAAAAGTTTTGGAGACATTTTGATCTTCTTAATATTAAAACCTCTGAACATTTTCACAGTATGCTTCAGCGGTCCAATCAGAATCAGACGAGGAATTATTTGATTTGATCACTGAATGGTAAGTTAAATTCAATATGCTATCTACATGATTGTTACCAGTTAGCATTAGGGTTATCACGATGCCAGACTTTTACACTTCAACTAGTAAAACTCAAACCACATCAGTAAATGTTTTAATACCATGGCAACAAATATAGAAGTCCTACCACCTGTTTTTTTTTTTTTATCAACACAAATTGCAAGAAAAACTTCAGCACGCTGTAAAAAGTTACAACATTTGAGTAGTTATTCAGACGGTGTTCTCCGTCTTTTGTTCACGGCAGCTTTACATGAAGAATGGTAACGTGTTGTCTTATGGTTAAGCTCAAACAGATGCTGAAAATAATTCAGCTATGTTCAACACTCAGGCGGGATGTAACTCGGCTAACAGCAACAAGTTACCATTCTTGTTGTTATTCGTACGCCGAATTATTTCCGTAATTTTGACGATGCGTTTTAAAAATGTAACTGAGCTCAATCCAGTATCAGGAAATGTTTACAGAAAACATCTGGAATTTGGATGTAAAAAAGAAATATTCAATTTTCATACATTTGGATGCTTCTATTAAGCACACAAATGACAGATTACAAGGTTAGAGGGTTACTATGGATTCTTACTTATTTCCCATTAAGAAAATAAAAAGTTTAATTAGACCACATTACACTGAATAAAAACATGTTTTTTTATGAGATCTTGTATCCAAATTGGCAGAATAGTCTTCTTCATTGATGTGGATCATTGCTCTAAAGCTCAACGCTGTGTCCTCTTGCAAGGATTTCAAATTTTGAGTAAGTATTGGCGCTTCCTTGTTGATTTTTCTTTCATGCCTGAATGCATTAACAAAACTACATTTTTGTAATACACACCTCTGATCGATAAAGAGCTATGTTTACGTATTCCATCTGAAAACATTCTTTTACTTTACAGTGAAATGCAACAAATAATTGGCCGACCCTGAGCTTCACAATCCAAATATAGAAGAAGGCAGGAGTCTGTAAGATGTTTTGAGACAGGTGCTGTGATGATGTTGATTTTGACAGATGCCAAAAGTGCACAGAGCTGTCAGTCTTTAGCTCAGATAGGCTGGAATGACGAGGAGAGCCATGCCTGAGGCGCTCGGGCAGACTGATAAAGACCTGGGATGCATGTAGCAGCCAGATAAAGCCGGAGCTCAAACACTGAGAGGAGTGCTGGGCTTTCTCTCCTCACTTAAAAGAGTGAAGGAAGGCACACTGTGCAACAAACATGTTAGTTAGTGCGTGCCTAACAATAATGGAAGGATCTGCATGCTGTTCAGTATCTAAGATTATTTGATTCTAGTGGCCTGGTTGATCGGATCAAGCATTCATTGTTTGTAGGCATTACATCCTCTCGTCCCAGCAGGCTGATGCTTCAAAAATGTATTCTTCACATGGACTACAGCAGTCAAGTTAACTTACCTTTTCTTATCAGAAAGCCTAACTCACTTGTCTGTTTTGACTAAAATGTGTACAACCATATGCAGCACGTGTCAACACATGTGGAATGAGCACATCTGCGAGCTCAGTGTTGAATGTTGTGAAAAAAAAGGCTTTCATGTATGATCATTGCTTCAGTCGGCAGCTGCAGGTAATGTTCTGACTTAAATCTCCACTTCTTAGAAAATGATCGCCACTCAATCGTCTGTGGCTCGTCTGCCTGCTTGTTGTCTTTCATTCTGACCTCAGAATTGAATGTCTGAAGTTGAAATAGAGCTCCTTATATAACTGCATCTTTTCATTTTTGATCAAATGCATTTACTCTTTACATTGAAAGAAAACCATTTTTCCTAAATGGTTGTACTAATGTCTTTGAGTTCTTCTGCTCACTGTTCATGGTTATAAAGGTCGAATACGAAGACCGGAAAAAAAGAAAAAGCAGCACTAAACACTGATACGGATATGTGTTATGATGACAGCGTTAAAAGCTGTCAGAACTAAATGTTTACCTGACAAAATATATCACATCATTTCTTCATTTGAGTTTAGATCATCCTCCACAGAGTCTACAGAGTGATTATAAAAGACAGACAGGCAGGAAGCTGCATTACTGAAGGTAACAGGGTTACACAGGTCAATGATTTTAGATGCACTTTAGCAACCTTGTTTGTGCAAACCTAGTGCACACTTTGGATGGATTTATATAGAATACAAAGAATTATTGCTCGGTGATGTGTAATAATCCTGTCCTGTCTGATAACTTCCCTGATCTGTACGTTACCATGGTGACACTGGATAAACTCGCACACTACAGGGTAACTTTAGTGTCATTACTATTAAAGAGACTGGATATTTAGTTTGAATGTTGTTTAACATGTCAACAAGACTACCAGAAGTCAGCTTTTACCTGACAACTTGTATGCATGCTAAGTGCACCTTGAGCTGGAATAAACAAAAGTGAGTTAAGTCAAAGTAAGAATTATTCCCATAGAGAGGAAACTTTGAGGCGACCAGCTCTCTAAACATTTAACTATTGAACACTTTGAAACAGGTTATTTCTACAACCATTAATGTATTCATATGTGAGTTTTTTTACATATTCATGACCCAAAGTGCCGAGCGCAGATCTGAGCGACAGAGGGGGATGAAGGCCGACGTTGAAGGTGACAGGAGGGGATGGCTGACGGAGAGTGAGACTGTGAAATGGAGGTGGAGAGAGATGGAAAGTGGCGCTTACCCTCAGGCTCTGGCAGTCTGGCGATGGAATCCAGCAGGAGGCAACGTCTGAACGTCAGCGTTTGGCAGGCTCGGTATGACAACACACACCTGGAGGAGAGCGAGGGGAAGGCATTAGAGAGGTGGCTGGCAGGGACAGAGATATGCACATCCACACATATATAACCCCACACAGACAGACACACAGAAAAGTAGAGTAGGAACAGCACTGAAGTACAACTGACGGGCACAGATTTCACCCTCAGTGCCCACAAGAGGCACTATGCTCCAACTAGCGAGCAGGCGGGAGAATTGTTTGACAGAGGATATTTATGAGATGATGAGACTGGTGCCTGTGTAAATATCAAAAGGTGGGAGGCTTGATTACAGCTCTGTGAAGACAAATAAACCAGTCAAAGAAAGCATTTGGCATTAAGATTCAATTCATGTCCCAATAAGCTCAACTATGGCATCTGAACTGCAGAGCACGCTGAGGCTAAAGCTAACAAAAAAAAACAGAAGAAGAAGGATTTCGGTACCTGAGCCACATGTGACCGTTTTGACAGATCGCTTGTTTGTGGTCTGAGAAGGGCAGCACGGCCTGACACAGGCTGCAGCGCTCCGGGAACGACTGCTTGTTCATCTTCTTCTTGATGTGGCCGATCAGGACCTTAAAGGGAGCACACACACACACACACACACACACACACACACACACACACACACACACACACACACACACACACACACACACACACACACACACACACACACACACACACACACACACACACACACACACCACACACACACACACACACACACACACACACACACACACACACACACACACACACACACACACACACACACACACACACACACAGATCAGATCAGATCAAAGTTTTGGGAAGAAAAGTCAAATTAAATGTTTCTATATGCACAAACTAAGGTTTGGAATATACTAAATGTAGATCAAACCATTGAAAAACAAAACAGTTCTAGTAGGATGCTGACAAATCAAAGGATTTACCTCTGAAGCTCGGTCGTTGGCGTCTCTGGAGAGATACTCCATCAGGCCACAGGTGGGTATGCTTGTGTTCTGAGTGATTATGGTGTTGAGGTACACCACCCCCAGCACCTTCTTGATGTTTTCTCTCATCAGGTGAGCCTCCACAGAATTGATCCATGCCTGAACCTCCTCTATCTGCTCCTCTA